GACAGACAGGTGGACAGATGCAGAGACAGACAGGTGGACAGAGACAGACAGGTGGACAGATGCAGAGAGAGACAGGTGGACAGAGATGGACAGTCAGTCAGTCCGTCCGTCCAGGGTGACTGCTGGTGAGTGGACTTCAGTCTGACCTGTTATTTTCCAGGTTTCCTCTTTTGGCTCCACAGTTGAATAAAATGTCACAGTGAACACACGGGTCCGGTTCAGAACTGGACTTCCATCAGGGTCCGGTTCAGAACTGGACTTCCATCAGGCTCCAGGACACTAGCAGTCCACTCTGACTGTCGTGCAATAGGAAGACCTGCAGGTGAGTCACCTGCTACCTGGCTGAGACAGCAGCATTCTACCATCGGGTCAGAACCATGGCGTTCTCCATGGTCATGTTGGAGCGGTCCAGTTCCCTGCTTGGAGCCCTTCAGGTGGATCTACAGCTCAGGGCTTGGTCCAGACCAGTGCCAGTGTAGTTCCAGGTTCTCCTCCTGGTTCCAGCTGTTCTCATGAGAACTGCAGCCACTGATGAACCTCCAGCCGTGTCGTCGATCAGCTTGTGTTTATAAAAGCAGTCTGTGTTCTGTGGTTTCAGCTCCTTCAGTCAGTGTGTTCTGGTTTCTTTCCTCTGACAGTAAACGGAAGATGATTGGACTGAGCCGGACGTGGAGGAAGCTCTGATCCACACTGTGACCTGTTATTGAGCAGACAGGTGATCCACACATGAACAACCTCTGGCTGAAGGACGAGCTGTGCTGGAACCGCAGCCAGCCTGCTCATGTGTCCGTCCTCTCAGGCTGCTTCATGCTCTCAGTGCACGGCTCACACTCGGCTCTTTGTGTTGTCCTGTCCGTCTGCTTGGTGTGGATTCTTTGCATTAGGTTGTTCTGGTGTTCCTCTCCCTTCCTACAGAACCTTGAAGCTGTGTTTTAGAGGACAGTGTGAATAAAGTTCTTATCAAGACGATGGTGTGAGCGACCAGATCAGAGCTGTGCACGTTCTCCATCCACACCGAGCAGCTCTGATCTCTCAATGGTTGCCACAGTTTCCCTCCAGTCCTGCAGTGTGAGTTCCTGTCAGCAGGTGGTGCTGCAGAACCTCCAGTTCAAACCGCCTCAGTCAGCACCAGAACTCTGCTTCTGTCTGTCCACTGATGCAAACGGGATCTGTTGGGTTTTTATTTACCTTTATACCCAGAAGGGTTGGGTGGATCTTTTTATCGTTGCATGTCCCAGTCCGTTGTCTTGAATGTGACTCCAGGAGAACTTCAGGCTGATGTGGACCCATCGATCACTGCTGGGCTCCCCCCCAGGGTTCTGTATGAATGTTCATAACTGAATAAGTGCTGTGCTGCGCAGTCAGAAACACTATTTAAATGCTTTACAGGCGTTTTCTTCGCTATGATCCAAACTGATGTGGATAGAGCTAATTTAAAATAAAGTGGTGCACCGTTAAAGCGCTCGGATGAGGTCGTGTTGCCCTCAGCTGCTCTCACCTGAACAGGTGACGTGTTCAGAGGTGAACAGCAGCCAGAGGGAAGCTTCATGTTTCTGTGCCTGGACTTCTGAACATGGGAGCATCTGATTGGTGGACTCCTGTTGAACCCTGAAACTGCTGTGACACACAGAAAGACGGTGGTTTTGTTTCTCAGGTGTTTGTGAGCTGATGTCTTGATCCGTGTGCTGTGGTTCCAGGCTCTGTCTCCCAGCGATAAGAAGTGCTTCGAGGACATGGCCAAGGCCGACAAGGTGCGTTACAACCGTGAGATGAGAGACTACGTCCCCCCAAAAGGTTTCGGAAGGAAGGGCCGCAAGAGGAAAGACCCCAACGCCCCCAAGAGACCCCCGTAGGTCCACACAGGTCCTGGTCCTGCTGCCGTTCCAGAACCAGAGCCCAACTGTTCATCAAACTGTCAGTGTCAGTGAAATGTGTTTGAGCTGTGAGAAGACATTTTGTGGAGATTTACAGTTTTACAGCTGCAGAGATGGAGGACACCTCAGTACAACACCCCAGAAACGTTCAAAGTGCAGAAGGTTGGGTGAAATGTAGAAGAGTTCATTTAACAAAGGTCGTAAATGTTGAGCAGATCTATGAGAAGAAACAGACATTTAACACTTTCTCAGTATTGAGACATACATATACTGTACCAGTTACCTGAACTGGAATCACAGGTTTTAGCTGGTCAAGGAATCAGTCTGAAAACAAACCAAAACCAATCTGATCTTGTTGAAAAGAATGAAACACTTGTGCTGCTCGCTGTCAAGTTCCACTGTTCTCATGTTTCAGCACAAACAGCAAGAGTTGATTTGTTCTGGAAGCGTTCTGCTAAGTCTCACTTGTGTTTTCAGGAGGAAGTTTTCCTTTAGTTGGCAGAATGATGTTAGAGGCAGGAACTGAACAGCAACTGACCAGGCCAGCTACACTAAACCTGTTGGTGTAAATGTAGAATCAGAGGCTAAATAATCAATCACATTGACACCTTCTCTGTGCACAGCTGCTAGCTGGCTAACGTTAGCACTGCAGGAAGCTGCAGAAACATCACGGCAAGCTTCACAATAAAGGTCCAACTAAAGTGGAGGATCGAGAAATTATTGATCAGTAAACAGATGGCTGTATTTCTGACTGAGCTGTCTGTCTGCAGGTCTGCGTTCTTCGTGTTCTGCAGTGAGTACCGTCCCAGTGTGAAGCAGCAGTGTCCTGGCATTTCTATAGGGGACTGTGCTAAGAAACTGGGAGAGATGTGGAGCAAACTGTCCCAGTCCGAGAAGCAGCCGTACGAGGAGAAGGCCCAGAAACTACGAGAGAAATACGACCAGGTGAGACTCAAGACCAGTGGAAAGACCAGTGAGACCAGTAGAAAAACCAGTATAACATGCGTCTGCATGTGGACATCAATAAGCAGGTTTTAGGTGCGACTAAATATGTTCTTCGGTCACATGTGACCTGTGTTAAATTGGAAACGGCGTGGACGCCCTCAGAACTGTGGTGGCGTTGTCTCTGGTCCAGGCCCAGATACCGCTCCATGTACAAGAACACAGGCGAAGGACGGCGTTCAGGACGGTTATTTTACGACATCAAGAGGCAGAAGCTTCCTCTGATTGGATAGGATTTGAACTACAGCCGCCTGAAGGTTTGGCAGCTTATTAATGTGCTGAACAGTTAAGTGGTTCGGTGTGGATGAACCCTTTCCTGAAAACGAGGGGGTGTGTAGGAAGTTTTATAAAAAAAACCCTGCTACGTGTGGACAAGGCCGAAGAATTTGAGTTTTAAGTTTATTGATTGAACCAAAAGTCACAGATGATGCGTTCAGGTCCGCCTGGAAGTAGGACATGTGACCGCTGGTAATGTTAATGTTGTAAATATTCTGACTTTGGAGATTCATTAAGATAACTGTTAATATGGGGTGCCCCTATAGCTCACCTAGCT